TTTCCTTTGCTTTCCGCATCTAAGACAGGACAGCTCCTAGGCTAATGTTTTACACATCCTTTGAGACAAATGTAAAATAATTTTAATCAAAAATGGGTAAAGATGATGCGTCTTTTAATTTCCTCAAATGCAGATTTTTGTGCAGAGACCTAGCCAGAGGTGGCCTTCTTGGTAAGCATCCTCAAGGGTACCACTAGGGTAGCAAAATCCGGTAGATCACGTAAGCTGTACGAACACAGGACGACAAGGTGTTTGATTCCAAACTCATTCTTTGGGATGGATGTTTCTGTGATAGCATTAGTGTTTGCGGCACATGGTCGGATTCCTCCAGACGATAGGAAGTACCTAAGGAATTCGACTTCCGTAGCACTAAATTTGCACTTTTCTAGATTGAACCGTAGATCTAAGTTGTCCAACCAGTGTAATACAGCGAGTAGTCTAGAGTCGTGCTTTTTCCTGGGGAGATCAAAAACGCTAATATCACCTGTGTAAGTAATCTTTTCGGATAGGTCTGCTAGTGAGTGATTCATTAACTTCTGCCAAGTTGCCGGTGCGCAGCTGCGACCCATAGGCAAAACTTGGTACTGAAAGTGACCGCACGATGTCATAAAAGCTGTCAATGGCTTCGACTCCGGTGGGAATGCGATGTGGGAAAGGCTTTCTTCACGTCTATTTTGGAAAAGTTGGTTCGCCAGTTAACTTGACTAGCATTTCATCAACTATGGGACAAATGAATTTCTCGATAATGATCCGATTACTCAATGCCTTTAAATAATTATACATGCGCACAGTACCATCCTTCTTTAGGACGGTGCGCATTGTATGTAGCCAATCCGAACAGTTAGTTGGCTCTGTTAGGTCGTTGGATATCATTTACTGTATGGTTTTTTCCACCACCTCACGTTTAGCCATTGGAGTAAGATGTGGTCGCAACATGGAAAACGGTTCAGCATCTCGCTTAAGGCATATGCGATGAGCGGCGGATGGAATACGGCCAATGGTTTCGGCGAACAATTTGGAGTATCGAACTTAAAGCGTCATTGATTGCTATAATGCGCATTCGATCGATGGACCATGTTTCGTTAAGAGTAACCATGGCTTTTCGCCCAAGCTGGGCTGGACCATCTTCAGGAGCCACATACATAGCAACGTCCAATGTGATTGAGTGTAGACTAAATTTCGTCATCATTCATCCGCGAATTTGCATACGGGCATATGTGTATGGGTCAGATTTGTTAGACATTGGATGTAATGGGATGTCATACAGAAAAGGTCATCAAGGCTAGAAGTCATAAGTGTTATGGGCGGTGCATAAGCTAGTACCATTACAACTGGCACATTAGTGTGGCGCTTATGGAGCGTAACTCTACGGATGTCACGGGAAGGGAGATTGGGCTCCATCTAAAAGATCGTCCATTCCTTGGATAAGGTGACTTTGGATCTAAAAGATATTTCCCGGCATCGATGGAGAAGCATGATGGCTACATTTTTGGTCAACTAAGGCTACCCTGCGAGAGTGATAGCATCGGGTGAAATAGTCCCGTTTGCCACACAATTTTCTTAGCCTATTATGCAGGCCGGATATGTTTGACAGTCGGTTTTGTGGCCAGAACTTCCACATCCATGACACAAGACGTTCAAATTTTGAGATGACGCGGAGACATTTTACCACTGTTTATTGATTTCAAATGTCTCACTCGTGTTGAGTAGGGGCGAATGTTCGAGCGCAGCTGTTTTGAATCTGGCGATCCCTATGGCTCTGTCAGAGGAAAACTTCGAAGGGTATCTGGTTTCTCGGATGCGCAGATAAGTGATGCCGGTTATGAACCACTGTATTAGCATAATTCCCTCAACTCTGTCCTTTTGAGTGCTGGCATAATCACAAGTTCTTACGGTACGTATCTAGCATGGAACCAAATGCTCCAGTGGCTCTGAGTCCCCTTGTCTCCACGGCACGATACGCAACGACCTGCGAAAAGGTGAGATCGCGCGCTCCAGGATCGATGCAATACATCCAAAGTCTTTAGCTCAAGGTAAGGTTGTACTTCATTACCTAACAGTTAAAGAAGAAGTTAAAACGTTGGATTTTATTGTACGAGCAGCTGCCGGCAGTAACTTCAAGTTATTCGTGAATGAACTTTTCCATTGAGATCAATCGCTCTCGGTAGTTTCAACACTTGGATCGCATCATAATGCTTTCGGAGATGGAATATGAAATGCCATCATAGCGGTTCCCAACCGTGAAGCCGATGTTGTATACCAGTAAGCGCAGTAGGCCTATCCGCAACTCGACTTCAGTAGCAGTACCACGGACTCGCACGAATGGTGATCAGAACAAACTCACGACGATCCTGGAAATGTGTATTCTATCTAAAGTCTCTTCTCTTTACAGACGTGATGAGTGTTTACCATGCATCGACGAATGTCCACCAAATCAGTTGTGAGCCGAAGAAAGCTTTCTAGATATCAGCACCAATGGTGCCCAGGTGAAGATGCAATATTAACAGGTAATTTATGTGGAAGGTCGCATAGGGACCTAGTCACTTTTCCTGACACATATATTCAATGATATTACCCGATTTTCGAGACCCGTTTCAGATTCCAGCCGGTCACAACTGGTGACGACAACCAGCGAGAATGGAAAACGACTTCTCCTTACCAGCGATAAAACAGGATCGTTCGTGCTAATATAAATATCTCAATCTAGATATTTCAAAAACCCAGTGAAGTCTTTAGGTAAAACACAGGTTGACTGAAGTTTAAACTTTCAAATAGGAGGAAAGCGCAAACAGGCTTTGTGGAATAGAAGAAAAGCGGTTTGAGACCAAATCGTCCATCCAAAAGTACATATGGCATGTCATAAGGTTCCCTTTTACTTCGCCCAGGTAACCTAAATAGTCTCATTTAAGGCCTCACTGCTGCAGTGACCTAAACGTATGCTAGTTTCGTGGCAACACAGTATTGTTCAAATCTCAGAACTTCGTTATCTCTATGGAGTTAATGCAGACACCCCTCATACTGAACTAATTTGATGCTTATATTCGAGCTCACAGATATTGCAGCTATATTCATGGTTGAAGTACATCTTGCGATCGACACAACACAAACGCAATCAACTTGTTCTCTTGGTTTACAAGTTTAAATGTCTGGCACACCCATATGTCAGCTCAAATTCCAGATGCCGAAGGATGGCCCTACTTATGGATGATTGGTCTCACTGAATCAAAGAGCAGGCTCTGCAGCAAGCGTAGTAGCCATCTACTTAAAGCAGCCCGCAAGTTGCTGTAGTCGCTTATATGTGAATTTGCAGGTAATTGGTTCAGTAGTGAAAGTCTGTTGCTCAAATTTCATGCCTATCATCTGTCCCACCATCCGCATAGAAATGAACTCTGTTCTCGCGAAGCTCTTGCCAGTTTGAAAAGAAAGAATACTACTTCCTGATAACACTGCAATCCATGACCGGTTTTACGTTCATCTCCATGTCGCAACTGGAGACAACAGAGTGAGGACTGGAAGCCACGAGGAAGAAGTATACTGGAGGATTCCATTATCCCCCCACCACGAGTTTCAAGAACAACGAGTTGCAACCACTAAGGATTCAGTGTGGATTTGTATAAAATATCTGTTGGGTGAATGGACTGAGACACGTAGTCTCAGTATGAACCTCAAACCCTTCGATCACTGGGATGGTATCCGTTGCAGAATTAAGAGACTTTAACAGTTTTGACACGTGCTGTTTGCTGCTCTCAGTGGTTAAGTGGTACAAGCGTGGTTCGTCAAACCAAGAATTTCGGTTCTAAAGTCCTAGTTCGGTAACTCTACTTGAGAGTATGAAAAATTATGTTGTTCCAGGAAAGCCGTGTTGGAAGCAGGCAGCACCCAAATGTTTGCTAACCGAGTGCATAGAACTACGCTTCAAAACTATAATTCGGTTCAGCTTGAGGGTGTGTGGCGTTACACATTTACATAACGATTGCTCCGAAAGAACCAACGAAGTCCACGGAAGTTTTTATTTTTTCGCATCCCCGATGAGGGCGCTGGGCTCAGCAAAAGAACAGCGCTGCACTTACTTTCTCTTAGATCAGCTTGGTCCAAAAGGTGAATGGTAAATCAAGATGGCTATGTGCAACCTGGTATCTGGGTGTAGACATATGTAGATGCGGCAATCCGTGCTCAAGCTTGGTTACGAATAAAAGAGATCAATCTTTGTTTTGTGGTGAACTATAGCAGACACAACCGACATCGACAGTAGACTGCAACTATGCGCCAATTTACCTACACTGTGAACGATGCGCGCAGTTTAAACATGTAGCGCACAACACCTGAGCAAATATTAGTGAGATCGCTTATGCCATGCCGAAAATCATAGCATTTCCCACTTTGAAATGTCAAGTTGGCTTGTGTACGTGTGGGAGGAGAGAGTTACGGAGGCGCCCGTAGATAAGTGAACTGGTTCGGGAGTATAGCTTATAGCGAAAACCAGTTTTCGATCAGTGTAAAGAAGTCAGTATAGCTGTTGCCACTACAATTGTCTCAAAACCGACCGATAAGTAATGAACTAGCAAAACACATTTGATTAAGGTTGGGACATTCTTAAATTTCCCGGTGTGTGATACTACTTCCTTGAGTGGTCAGAAGCTTAAGGAGAACTTTAGAGCATTTGTTGAATCCATTTCTTCAAAATTATAGTCTACTATAGTTTTCCGAACAAGTGTTACTAGTCAAAATTTATACTTGCTTATGATGAAATCCAGCCACACCATGGGTTCGCAGCATATGTTAGAGCGAATCATCTGCACTGAAAATGTACCGATTAGGTATACACTTTGAAGCCCGTTAAGGTTACTATGTGCTTTAGAGGAAAGTAATTTGCATACGTTGTGAAAGACAAATTGTGGGAGATACAATGTGCCTTAAACATATTGAGATCATGTAAACGCTATCGACACATGCACAAATTCCGATAACCATATTTACTCAACGTGTCTCTTGGATAACAGGGTGGACGAAATTCTGGGTCGACAAAGCGGGAAACCGGAAGATGTTTACAGTTCTCATCAAAGTCTGGCATCACGGATTGTGAAAATCGAACGAAAGGTCAGTATGAGTAATCATCCCAACCAGTGCTAAGACCCATTTCCATGTCGAGTGCTTCAAATAGCTGTTTCTAATCGATTGGTCCGATTGTGTCTGGTATTGGGAAGTAATAAGGAATTGGAGCGGACACTAACTCAATCATTTGCTACAACAATATGTGTCAGCTGGGACCCTCGTTACGGACAGCCGTTTATTGACAGCAGATGCCCTACGGTAGAGCTGTGGGCTATAGTTTAATAAATTTATCCCACAAGTCGTCATTATCAAACAAAATATTAGCGCGGCTAGAAGCCAGAACACGTAGCCATTTCGAAGTTATGTACTAAGTTTCGTCGCGAGCGAAGTTCGAAAAATCAGATAAACTTTGACATTTAGCACATTGATTTAGCGCCCAAAGAAGTGACTTGATAATGCGCCCGCTGAACGGGATCAGCATTCTACAGTTGCTTGGAAGGTGGTAAGGCAGAAGAGTTGAGCTGTGCAACTTTAGAAATGTATCCCCATCTTCGATTACCGCGGTAGTATGTTGAGCATTGTTACCACATTGAACAAAAGCTGTGAATGCTTTCTTCCTTTGGTCCAAACGCGTCTAAATTGGGTGCATGTTAAAAGCACTTTGTCATAAAGTGGCTTGTTATAAGTTGGTAACTTCATGTTTTCGCTTGTCATATGAATCCCCCTATTGTAGTGTGCAACATCGCATAAATATTCTGGATTTTAAGACACACAGGCGTTCGTTCATAAGGATTTTACAACTACCCGATCGCCAAGCAGAATTTTCTCTCACGTTGATATTTTACATTGCAGATTGACGCGATTGAAATGAAAATCGATCGACTTTCAAGTATGTACAAGTCGGATCGGATGTTCCAGCAATATAAACAAGCCACATCGACCCAGAGACGATGTGGTCCTGAAGAGCATCCACCATCGTCCTCACACGAATCCAGGGGAAACCATACAGTAATGTATTCGAATGTACAGAAAACGTCCCCAGTTTTCGCAACCTTACAGCACGAAGGTTTTGGCGGTGACACAATGAATGCTGTGGAGCAAGAGGCACTGGTTTTGTGCTTTGGCAACAAAACCGCTTACGATTTTGTCGAAGAGTTAATGGACTCTGAGCATGTAAATAGGTCGTCAAAAATAAGTCAGTCGCAGTTTTGTCTCTCTCAAGAACGTCTTCCTCCCGTTGCACTCCCGCTGACTTTGAGCATGGCAAGCGAACCGGGAGTCAATACGCAGCTCAACACAGCACCGTTCAGAGAAAGTGTGTTATTTGAACGGCGGTCGGATATGACGAGTCGCTGGAGCTGGACAGAGGGGATGCTCGTAGAAATACCCGGAAATGCACTCATTAAACGACGTCAAGGTAGCGTCAAGTTTTCGCGACCAAACAGGATCAAAACCACTCAGTCTTTGGACCTCACAAATACAACATCGCGATGAGAGCAGCTTAGTTGCTCTTGTTCCGATCGCTTGCCAGCTAACATAAATAAGTTTCAAATCAATAGATGAACTCACAAGCGTTTGGCTGAAAGCATGCTGGAGATGAAAGACAGCGTGCGGCCTTGAGATGGCACAGACGAAAACCGCAGCAGGTGATTATGATGTACGCTCGGCCAATATTTGGCGCCGTATTGTACAGAATTTGTAATTTACTGAAATACAAAGAGTTGTGTTCTACAATAAGCCGTTTATAGCCTGTTGATATGCGCAACAATTCAGTGTGTAGTGAACACAAAGAATGAAGACATGGAAAGAAAGCCAGGGTGTCTTGTCCACCAAGACGACACATGTTTTATGAGCACTTGACTCATACGAAGTCTGTCTGTCAGCTACACACTCACATAGCCTTGAGGCTAGACGCATGCTCTTCAAACCCAACCACACACGCACAAAGCGGTAAGTAGAGCGGAGCTTGCCAGTGGGCTTAAAATCGGCTTTCCGACTGTACGCTACCATCATCGGTCAGCAGACTTCTGGAGCCCTCAGTCGAGGTAGTGACATCATACAAGTAAACACGCGTCAAGGTTGGTGCAGTGTAGACAGCAATATCTAGTTGCTGCTTATAGCAACGATGTATACCATGCCAACCACAATATGCGTGTGTTAAATCACAGCACACGTCAGTGGTGATGCGCTAGATACCTCAGTGGACTGACCGTCACAGGTCCCCTAGATAAACAGCAAATATGGTCCACATAATAACTGCGAACAGATGTACATGTCTCACCATAAGATTTACAAATTAGATAGGAAGAGAACTTCGAATGAACACCAGATGAATCTATAACAAAGCAGCAGCCATGCGGACCATACAAAATCTTGCTAATATTGCGTAGTCAGTACGCAATTCTGTTTGTCTAATCAGTTAAGAAGTTACAGTTTAAAGAACATTTACAATTACCGCTCAAGATTTGATGGATAGATGGGTAACACGTTGATGATAGCCTTCCTAAAATAATACTGATAATGCTCCTTGTACTTCGCAGCAGTAGGCCCCTAAAATTAGTGGCTTCCGGTAACTATCGACAGATACAGATCACATGCACTTCTCGATAAGCCATTCTATTCATGATAAAGTCTACACTTGTTGAACTGACGCAATCATACGAACACAATAATGACTCGTAACTGGACGACATAAGGACAACAAAACACTCCGAGCTGATAGCACGCAACGTGTACTCTGGCAAGAGCGTGTACAGTGCGTCGATCAATAAACAGAGGCTGTCACCTGTGAGTGGGTAATCGATAGATAGACACACGCGCACGTGTAGGGACAAGCAATGCTGGGTGTGAACACCTGACTGGCCATAGCGACTCATACACAATGTTACCATCAGGAGAACCCTCATGGAACAACGGAAGAGGAGAAGCAGCAATATATGCAGCAGTAATGATCACTTCGGTGCAAATACACACATATTGCAAAGGATTGTTAATGGAAAAGACGGTCAAACAAATAAGCTCGCATTCGGTGATTCATCATCAGGTCAAATATAACATATTTAAATAGGATAAGAAAGGGTGGATTGAGTAGCTAGAAATTGGAGGTGTCAAAATGCCCATAGTGGGTGTCAGACGTTCACACGGCAGCTGTCCTTGGGACAGCTGGTCACGGTAGAGTCAAGCATTTGACAAATTGTTTATGCACACACAATGGAGAGTTGTTAAGGCGAATCGCGATCGCTCCTGCCAATGCAAGGGTTCTGTGCCTGATGAGCTTGGAATGGTCACCCCACACACAGTAGATCAGGCGAAAGGCTTTGTTGATAACGATAGGTTGATTAGTCTGGACTAGGTGCGCAACAACTGCAGTGATACAGGTGTTGTTCAGTCTACCGCTTAGCCAGGCTAGGTGATGCCCGTGAACGCGTTCAGGCAAAGATCTCGTGGTGCGACTTAGGTAAGTTGTCCAACAGGAAGAGGTAAATTGATACACACACAAAGTGGTGGCATCCACAGACAGTTGATCCTTCAGCTGGAGGTGTAGCATGGGCGTGGAAGTGAAGATAATGCGTAATTGTGCGGCCCCGTAGGAGTTAATGACGGCTGCTCTTAATCTGTTAAGGCGTTCAGCACTATTATCTCCTTTGATTGGCAACGATAAGTAGACAGGATTCTTTCTTACTGTGGGTGTTTTGGCGATCGCACCGTCAGTGCGCATATTCCTGTCAATGCAGACTCGGGATAGCCGTTAGTAAAAAAAACACTTTTCTTATTATAGCGCGCTCTGCTTCGACCTTGTCAGCGGGGCATATTTTCGTTCCTCTTCCGACAACAGCTCGGACTAGGTACTGTTTCTGTCGGGCTGGCGGGAAGCTATCAAACTGCGTATATTGACTCGTCCATGTCGATTTTCTGTGCATTCTACGCTGCAGCCACCCATCTGGTCGACGTGACATTTAATCATCCAAGAAAGCCAACCCTTCGTTTGACTCGGGTTGCTTGTTAGCTTGTGTGTTACTGTGGGCCCGATTGAATCCCGGTAACAGCTCAACCTGGTCCACGGAGCAGTCAGCACATCACGTCATCGATCTAAAATTTATAAATTTGCATTCGCTCAATCATTTCACTCAGCGGACCTTTGTCTAGTTTGGCCATAAATACATCAGCAAACAAGGGTTCCAATGGTGACCCCCATATCTAGCTCGTCTTTTCGTCGGTACAAATGTCTGGCAAAGCGAAACGGAACGTTCTGGGTCCACTGATGAAGCAGCGTCTTTACTTCGTCCAATAAGCATTCTAAAATATTGTAAGGAAGCAGAACATCTGGATCGCTAGACGCTTACATTGACGATTTATACTTGTGTTTGCTTTCAATTCAACCATCCTACGGGAATTGTAAAGCAATCGCTTTTTTACCTGTAATATATCATTGTTTATTGTCCACCGGTAAACAAAAGCGTTTACCTTTGCGCTCGATGTATTCGGCAAGGTAATCGATTGTCTCTTTAACGGGGACATTAGTAAAGAACGACGTTACAGCATGTGCAAATAGCTGATTATTATCCACATTTTTATTTTTAATGCTGTTGATGAAATCGAACGCATCACACAGGCTATGATTCGCTAGTGCCCTTCTTGTTGATTCCAATAGTTCGGCCAACCGCCTTGCCAACGAATGATACGGTGAGTTACTCATATCTAGTTGGGTCGTAAAGGAGCTCCCTATTTATTTATCTTGGGTAATCATATAATCCGGGAATAATAGTGCCAACGGGACGAATCCTTTCGAATCTCATGGAATCGATCACTCCTTTCTGTTTCCTTTACCTCAGAGATTTAGATATGGTGTTTTCAATCTTCGTAGTTTTGTCCTTCTCATTTAACGTTTTTACGAACTTTAAGAATTCTCAAGCAATACACTGATCTTATGGTGATATTCCGTTTTTTCATAATAAAAACCACCTCGGCTTTGTCTGAATGCGAAAGTAGAATCTCCTCTTTTTTCCTCAGTGTTTCTACGTTGTCTAAGTGCTCTCTTGTCAGCACCTTCCTGACTGTCATTGTGTAGGTGAGATACTGGTAACGTGATTGGACAAGGTTGATCTTACCCTTTTCTACCTTTTATTCGCTTGTAGGCGCCAATTCAGCCACCTGTGCGATCAGGTTTCAAACTGCACTTCTAGAGCAAGCTGTCTGTGTCTTGATTTAGGGCGATAGAACTTTTATCTAAGGACAGTACTTCAATTGAAGATCTATCTAGCTGCAATGATGAGAGGTTGTGAACGTACCGCTCAGGTTCCTCCGGAAATTTCAACCTACACTTTACCTGGCTGGCGTGCTTGTTCAATTTTAGACCCTTTTTCTTGCTGTCGTTTTAGTGCAATCCACTGCACGTATGATTCGAATGATACCCTTTTCCTCAGCAGTTAGGTGATCCAACCCCAGCGATGCGTTTTCTTCTTCCTTCCAAGATGCATAGACTCGCCGTCCATGTATTCTTAGCATTTAAGGCCAAACGCCTTAGTGCCTGCTCGGTGATATTGATTTGGTTTCGTCGGAGCGCAGTGAGATAACGCTTTGGATATTCTGCACGACCGATGCAGTTGGTCAGAAACCGAATCGTGATGTTTGCCTCCGACTGCTGCGCACAGAACTAAATATACTTATTAACCTCCATCGGTACCATGGGATTTTCGCTTTGATTTAAATGGTAAATATTTCCCGTTCCGGCCATTAAAAGACGGGCTAGCAAACAAGGACTTTTTCGGTGATTCATCATCAGGTCAAATATAACATATTTAAATAGGATAAGAAAGGGTGGATTGAGTAGCTAGAAACTGGAGGTGTCAAAATGCCCATAGTGGGTGTCAGACGTTCACACGGCAGCTGTCCTTGAGACAGCTGTTCATGGTAGAGTCAAGCATTTGACAAATTGTTTATGCACACACAATGGAGAGTTGTTAAGACGAATCGCGATCGCTCCTGCCAATGCAAGGGTTCTGTGCCTGATGAGCTTGGAATGGGCACCCCAGACACAGTAGATCAGGCGAAAGGCTTTGTTGATAACGACAAGGTGATTAGTCTGGAGATTGCTTCTGTATTTGGACCGGTCAATGAGTAGTAACTTATGCTGAAGGAAGCGGCACTGAAAAATAAATTGATGCAAAAGCCACGAATAAATTACAACATACATGGAATAATAATTTCCTGCGTTTTACTCTACTGTCATCCAAGTTAGATTTCCAGGGTGAACATTTCAGCAGGTCAGATAGCGTGTATGTAGGCAAATGTGCATTTTATGCGATAGTCGGGTTCTATAACTGCATCAAATTCATATAACATTATCATTGTGTCTAAATAGGTTGACTGTTGCTGATTTTGATAAACCTTTCCAGTTTTCTTGCAAGGGATTTTAAACGTAAATGTGTATGGCTGCTTTTAGTTGGCTGGCTGTTGTTATTTCGCAGTTGCCATATCTTGTTCTGAACGCACTG